GAATGTGGCGGGCCCTGGGTGTCCGCTTCATCCTGCTTGTGGGTGCTTTGCGAAAGGCTGGAAGCATGTTCTTGAGCCTGGTCCTGCTTTTCAGTTTTGCCGCCGCCCTGCCTGCAACAAGGCTGTGTGGTACGACTGAGCTCGCTTACGCCGGGCCTCGGCCCTACTTTGCGGGGGACCGCTTGTCTCTCTAGCATTGCTTCTTTGCTTCGCGTGGTGCCTCGGAGCGCATCTCCCTGGCCGGGCTCGCTTAGCCGATTAAGGGGGTCACGAATTTTTCGCTCGGGGTGAACAATTTTAAGCTTGGGGCGACTTTTGCTTTGCCCTAGCTGCTTGTCTGTCGCTCTGCTTCAGCTGTATTTCGACATGATGCAGTTCGTGGCCTTGGCGCTTATGGTTGTTTTTCGCTGCTTTTGGCTTATTCGGGGTAGCCCGTCTCCTTTGCCTATGCCGCGGTACTTTGGCTCCCATCTGCACTTCCTGTCGCTTTACTTTGCGCACAAGATGCACTCCGAGCAGTTCAAGGCCATCATCAGCAACCTTCCTTTGCACCAGCTTTGCAAATATTTGTGCGAGAAGGCGCAGGAGGATGGTTCGGAGGTCTATGGGACTTTGTTGTGGGTGCCGGAGGAGGGCAGACTTGCTTTGCTTGACTGCCTGACTGCAAGCCTCGAGAGCCCTCCTTTGACTCCTCGTTCTGCTGCTGGTGCTGATACTGCGGCGGATGCTGCGGGGAGCTCCTCTACTTTGCCGGCGGATGCTGCTGGGGGCTCTTCTACTTTGCCGGCTGAGGCGGGTAGCTCCCCTACTTTGCCTTCTGCGGACCCTGCTTCCTCTGTGGATCCTGGTACTTTGCCGCACTTTGGCAAGGATGCTGCATCGTCCACGGACGATCCTACTTTGCAAGGGGTCGATCCTACACTTACCTTTGGTTAGTAGGGAATGGAGGAATAGGAACCATTATAAGTACCATTACTACCATTCTTCCATTCCCTACTAACCAAAGGTAGGTACAGCCGCCTCCCAAGATGCAGTCGACCCTCCTTTGCAGGATCCTTTGCAGTCGGAAGGGGGCAACCCCTACCCTGCACATTTGCATTGTTACCACAACCACATGGGTTTCTCCTACGACGATTGGTATGCTTATTGGCAGCGCAATGGCTGGTGGGATTCGATGAAGGTGCCCCCGGGCGGCACTCCTTTGCAGTCTTCCAGTGCTTCGCCGACTCCGTCTTCTACTTTGCCGCAGGCCAGCTCTAGCGCTGCTGATGTGGGCCCTGCTTCTACTTTGGACCCTCCTTTGAACCAATCTGCGGGGGATGGTGATGGCGCACAGGGTGGGGCCCCTGCTTCCTCTCCTTTGCGGTCTGAGGCCACGGGCGACAAGCCCGGGGTTTCCTTTGACTCTTGCTTTGATGACATGCCCGCGGGTGTCTACGAGAAGCTTGGGCCCTACAATGTGCGCAGGATCATGCGAGTGGAATGCCAAGAAGAGTGCGAGGAGTGTGCCAGTGGGCATTGCGGTGCCATTCTTGATGTGTCTCGCCCCGAGAAATGCATACATAAGCACCGCTGTAAGCAGTGCTATCGCATTTTTCGTGCGAAGCAGCTGCAGTGAGGGGGTGGCGAGTTTTCCTTTGCGGTGCTTTTCTTAGCTTTTCTTTGCAGAGTTTATACTTTGCTTTTGCTTTCGGGAATCTCGCCCCCCCTCGCTTTCCTTTAGATTTGCTTTGGGGAGCAATGCCCACTGGCACGTACTTTGCAGAGCCTTTGCAGCAGCAGGTGAGGTCTTTTGTTGCATAGCTTTCTTTCCACAGTACCTCATTATAATGCAGCTTTGCTTTTTATAGCCTTTTGGGGGCCTCGCTTGTCTCGGCAATTGCTTGCCAATCTTCCTTTGCATCAGCCGCTCTTTCTGCATAAGCCGTTGGTGGCTCGACTTTCGCACTGCGTACGCCGGTGCAAAAGTGCATGTCCCGCGTGTGGCTGCACCTTCTGCGTTTGCCTCGCTTAGGCCGCATGGAGTGAATTCTCCAGCCAGCTTGCTTGCATCGCTTTGCTCTGCACGCTTGGCCCACAGCTCGCTTAGCTCACGGGTTGCTTTTCGCGTTGGGGGCAATCCCTTTGCTTTTTCAGCTTTACGCTTCTAGCTTCCCTGGTGGAACTCAGCCCTAGCGGCCCGCGTTGCCATGACCGATTCGGAGGCCGCTTGCCGTTCCGAGTGTCATGCTTGCTTGCTTTTCTTTTCTTTGCTGCTTCCTTTGCCCCGTCAGGACAACGAGCTCCTCACCTTGGCGGCCTCCTTCAAGGTCCCGGACTTACTGGTGCAAGCTCTGAAGGACGAAGGTTGGGACGTGCCCTCCTTTGCCATGTCGGCCACCTCGGTAGCTGAAGTTGACGGCGCTCTTTCGGAACTCGTCCCGGACTCCAGCTTTACTTTGCAGGAAAGAGCTAATTCTCGTTTGCTTTGGCAGCGGTGTCACGCGATGACTTGTGGAGCTTCTTTTGCTTTGCCGGAGCCTCCGGCTGATCCGGCTTCGCTCTCAGCTCGGGATTCGGCCTCGTCTTGGGCGAGCCCGTTCCCTCCCAAGGTTGCTGCAGATGCTTTGCAATCCCTCAAGAAAGAGTTCTTGAAGTCTTACACTTCTGAAGTTCTGGACCCGGACACTTTGCCCTCTCCCCGCCTTTTGGCTCTGGTGAAGGCCAACGTCGACGCTCTTCCTTTGCGATCAGGCTGGCGCTGGGTGGCTTGGAAGTTTCGGCTTTCACAGAGGGCCCACGACGAGAAGGACAGTATTGCTTTGAACTCTAGGCCGCGGAAAATCGCTAAATTTGACCTTTCAGATCTGCTGCTGGACGATATGCCGCTTCGGGAGATACCGTCGTCGGGCCAGCTGGGGAATTACCAGTTGTCGCAAATTTTATCTTTGCATTCTGTGGCAGTTGCTCTTTGCAAAGGTTGTCACCTCAGCACCCTTCGTGCATATGAGCGTGCATTCTTGGAGCTGGCAACCAAGCGTTGCCCTGCCGAGTTGAATTTGCGCAGCCCTGCGGCACAGGAGCTCGAGCATGCCGATCGCATGCTTTGGTAGCAAATCTCCTCTCTTCTTTGCGAAGATTGGAAGCTGGATGACGCTTTGCACCAAGTGACTGCTGTGAGGTCGTCTTTGCACGTTCTCCTTTGCCCTCGCCCCGCCCTGCCCAAGCACAATCCGAACAACAAGTTGCAGCAATTGGGCCGCGATCCCCCCAAGTTTTTGGGCAGAGGTCGGGGTGGCAAGGGGCAGAGGTCGGGGTGGCAAGGGGAGGAACGGCAGAGGCAGGGGAGAAAGAGGCGACAAAGGAGCGGACTCGGGTGGTAAGCGCCACAAGTGGGCCACTACTTTCAACGGCAAGACAGTTTGCCTTCGCTTCAATTCTCGCTCCGGCTGCTCCGACAAGAATTGCAAGTATTTGCATCAGTGTTGCGTGGTGGACGAGAACAACAATAAGGTGTGTGGCGGTAAGCACCCGGCTTTCGAGCATCCGGGGTCTTGAAACACCCCTGCTCAGGGTCAGGGTGAGGCCTTGACTGGGTCGGCGGATCTGTCACTCGCTAGCGTTGCTTTGTCAGACAGCATTTCTTCGAGCGCGTTGGAGGTAGATTCTCCTACTTTGCCTTCTTCGCGAATTTCTCCCTTGCCTGCCGCGGCCGGGCTGCCGCCTCTTTGTTCGCAATCTGAGGTGGCATCTTCGTGCGACGGGGCTCCACCTTTACAGCCTATTCTGGTGGAGCTCGGTCACTCTACTTCTGGCTTTTTCGCCGATCCTGCTTTAGCTTCGGGTTTTTCCTACGCCTTCTTTTCCTTTGGCGATTCTGCGGCTTCGGCTTCACTTTGCCATGAGGACGCTTTCTCAGCTTTGCTCCGTTGTGCTTTTTCAGGTGTGGTCTCCGTGATGGTGGCCCACGTCTTCGACCTGGAAGCCGGGCCCTTGGGAGATCGTCTTCTGCATCGCCTTTGTCAGTTGCTTTTGGCTACCTTTCTTGGTGGCGGTCACATTTTGCTTTTCATGCATTCGGCCTCTGGTCTTTGGACCCAGCGGGCAACGAGATCTCTTCTTTTGGAGGCACGGGCAGCAATGACAGTTTTGCCTTTATGTGGCTTCGGGTCGCCTTGTCATGACGAGCTCTTGCTTGCCTCGTCTCTGGAATGCTTTGGAAGCTTGGCTGGTACCTGCCGGCATATCAGCTCGGCCTCTACCTCAGCATGCTCTATTCCACCTGCTCTGTGCCAAGGTATCGTTTCGCGGCTTGGTCGGTCGAACTCCCTTTCGGGTTCTCCAGCTTTGATATCTTTGGATGCTTTGGTGGCGTTGCGACCGGTTAAGCAGGCTCGTGATCTCCCCATCGCATCGCAGGATGGCGGAGGCATTCATTCTAAGCCCGACTGGTCTGTGCCGCCTTCTTCGGCTTCGGGGATATTTTCGCAACTTCGGAAGGATTTCCTTACTTTCATCTTGCAGCACGGTCTCCATCGCCGCCTTCGAGACCATGTGGCTGCGGCTTCGGAGTCTCCTTTCTTTTCAGATAAGGAGGTCCTTGCTTTTCGGGGGATCGCCAATCGGTGGTTCGCTGCCCAGGGTTGCCGTGACGAAGTCAATTGGAACAAGCCCTCTGGTCAGCCTTACTGTCTTCACGCTTTGCACTCTTTGAGTCAGGTGGTGAAGGACGCCGACAAGCATTTATTCTTGGCTTTGCTCGAGGGTGTCCCCACAGGGTACGATGGCGATATTCCCAAGTCTAATGTTTTCACTCAGCACGATAGTCCTCTTTCCGACGGTGATCTGTTGCTTTGCTTTGGGAACTGGACTGGGGCCGAGGCCGACCCCACTTTACTTTGCGAGCTTTTGCAGAAGGAAGTGGATGCGGGATGGTTGGAGACCATTCCTTTGCACGAGGCTCAAGCTCGCTGGGGCTCTCGCCTTGCCGTGGGGCGCCTTAACATTGTTATCGCTCCTGGCAAGAAGCCTCGACTTGTAGTTGACAGCTCTGTGTGTGGTACCAACAGTTGTTGCCAAGTTCCCGAATCGTATGCTTTGCCCGGCCTGCAACACGTCGTTTCGTTTCGTTCTTTGAATACCTGAAAA